TCGTCTTTAGGACTTCATAGGACCAAAGTGATGTTTCCGTTCATGGAATTATACATGTGCACGAAAGAGTGGATACAGAAATGTTAATCTTTTACATTTAATTATATATATATATATATATATATATATATATAATCTCTTCGTGTGCGTGTGAGTGTATGTGTGTAAATATATATTATATATGCGTATGTGTGTGTTTTGCGGGCGTACGCGTCTCCTGGTATATTTATCCCACAACAAAAATAGCGGAATCGGAATGTAAGTCCGAGTAATAAAATGAGTAACAACAAAACTATAGAATCAAACGATAAGTATGTATTAAGAAAACAAAGGTATACATAGGCAATAGAATATGCGTGTTACAAAACGATGAACATGAATGAAGAAAAAACTTAGAGTACTGAATTGTTTGTGTGTGTGTGGAGTTGTGTAGAATGAGTCCTACGGAATAGTAATGGAAATTGAAGAGGAAGGTTCTGGCATTCGTGCGTGCGTATGTGCGTGCGTACCCAAGTGTGGGTCGTATTTCTCTACGTGGCGACTACATCTTACCGTCACTGGGTGAAATAGGAAAAAGACAGGAAGACAGAGATTGTCATTTCCTATTTACAGGCTTAGGAAGCGTCCCCTATCGACGTTTTTTAGGAAAGTAAGTGGGGTAAGTATATATATATAATTAAAGCAACTAGTAATGTCTCTTGTATGGGGGGGGGCTCAATAAGGACCGATGGTCTGCCAGATTAGCTCACTAATCAATTCCTGGCGCAAAACCTGTTTATTTGATGCTATCTAACACTAACATAATGACACCAAATATACAGATCTGGACAATCTACTCACTGCAATACCTGTAAAGCAGGCGTTTCCATATTTTTGATGTAAGATTCCATTGTTAATTACATTTAACTATCAAATACAGATCATGAAGACAAAATGATTCTGTTTTTTAAGAAACGCTACCGGTTCAAGCCCAATTTTCGATGTTTGAATGGCAATATTGCATTATTTTCAAATAATTCAAACTTGTAGTTTTCGTTTTTTTTATTTTATTTTTTTACATTTCAACGTCTTTCAAATTTTATCAAGTGTGTTTTACTTCCGGTTAGTTTTGTTTGTTGGTCAATATTTTCCTCAATTGGAAGCTATTTTACCCAACTTCCAAAATCCAGACGATCAAGCACGAACATTTCTGGCAAGTGGAGATTCGACGATATAAAAAAAAAACAGTTTCTGTGTTAATATTTTTATATGAACGTTTTTAACTTTCAGATATTGTTCCCCTGCTTCCTAATTTCAATATGAATTATCATTTCTCTGTTTTTCGTTACAATTCTATTTTGATAAGGCACTTGTAACTGAAAAAAAAATCAATGTGTATATGTGTATGCATGTATGTATGTACGTGTGTGTGTGCGTGTGTGAATGTGGCTTCTTCACTCATACTTGAGTCCATACTGAAGAGAGGAAGCATACCAAAGAAGACCGAATGTAACATCAACCGAGAAAGACCGAAGAACATATAAAATGTGAAATAAGGATAAAGGCGCCTGTTCGAATAAACTCTCTTTTTATAAGACAGCGGAAGTTTCAAGGTTAATTGTAAATCCCCACCAGTGCCAGTCGTTATAATTCTCCGAGTAAAAATATTCGTCCTCTGTGGCTCAATCAACACGTCAGGCTATATGACGGTTCCGTATAGGATACAGGTTCGATTCCTGTCGGAGTACGAATATGTTCTATGAATATTTCTCGGACATTCAGGTCGGTAAATATTATTAATACTGTTTATTATAAACATAGCATTTACTTAAATATTTGTATCTATAAAAAGAATGTATAAACACAAAAATGTCTTAATATATATATGTGTGTGTGTGTGTGTGTGTGAGAGAGAGAGAGAGAGGAGTTCAAAAGACTTATCTTAGGATAGACTTCAAGTTACGCAGATACACCACTCAATATGGCTAAATAAATCTATCTGTTTCTTTCTTCGCTTTTCTGTTTTTCTTATGTAGTAGCTTTCTTCTTCGCCTTTCCCAATTTCTACCTCTTTAATATAATTTTATAGATTTATTGATCAGAGAATTTATCGGTCAAAAACGGGCAGATACTATGCACTCTATCTATCTATCTATCTATCTATCTATCTATCTATCTATCTATCTATCTATCCACACACACACACACACACACACACACACATATATATATATATATATAAAGCAATGAGTAACGTTCGCACAAGCAGAATAATTGTACAGATATACAATAATTTACCAAGTTTAGTGTAAATATGGTACAAGGCCACTAACGTGGCGCATCCAAGCCGAAATGAATTCACTATGTAGTTGCAATTATCTGCAGAAAATATTCCTTAGAACTTGGATCCTTCTAATTTATTAGATAATTCAAAGTTTCTGGTTGATTCTTATTGCTTAAATTCTAGGAAACTGTACCCCAGGCAGTATCTCTCTTCGAGAAGCGGCTAATGGTAATCCTTGGTATTCGAGGTGTCTCTTAATGTGTAAATACTATAAAAGCTTAAGCAAATTTTGTTTCCAGTCCTATTGATGCGCGGAACTCTTACTTTAAACTCGGCCTTGTGCCGCATTCAATTCGTGTATTTCTACGATTAAAATACCGTAATCCCCGGCAGAACAAACTGCTAACCATTCTATCACGACGATCTAGTTGAGTAGCACCGCGGTAAAATGGTTTCTGCCTTAAAAGAAGTTTCCCGAAGATAAAGTGATTCAAGTCTAGTTGAAGGTTTATTCTTAATTAGCAATGTGTTGCATCACGGTGAAGAAATCATTTGCTTTACACAACAAATAATTATTTTTAGCATAATTTCATTCTTTATCAATACCCAATTCATTACTAAACATTAATCACACAGCTTATAATATACAGTGAAAGTTTCAGGTCAAAATTTAGCTGATATCTAAGTGTCAGGCTGCGGATTTTTTGATCAGCCGTCATACATAAAAAATAAATGTTCCTTCAAGCATTCGGACAGTTTCTTTCAAGTTGTATAGCAGAAACAGCAAATCTTCAGCATTATCATCATCAGTTCCATGGCCGAGTGTGAGTCCTTAATTAGCTCCCTCTATATGTCTCGGTTGCAGACAAATGTGTAAGTGATCTTCAAGTTCCACTCAATGTCATTTTCAGCCCATTTTTCCTTCTGTTTGTCTCTTGCCCTTAATTGATAACTTGTAGATTGTTATTGGAAAAACTGTTGGCTCTTATGACGTATTTATATCATTTCAACTTCCTTTTCTTGACAGTGGTTAAGATGGCGTCCAACGCGTCTGTTTCCTGCCTTATAGTGTCTAGCAATGTACCATTAAACTTGTCTATGTAGGAGATGTTTCTGTAGGATCTCCTTTTTACTACTTGGATTCTTCGCAGTAATTCTACAGTTAGTGTCCATGATTCACAGGCATACAGAAAACCTGAGAAGGCCAATGAACGCGACAGTTTCATCTTTGATTTCAGCCAAATATTCTTGTCTTTCCAGACGGTTTTTATTTTTGCCACAAATGCTATTGTTAATTCTTGTCTTGAAATTATTTCTATTCTGGAAGCTTCTTTGATAATCGAGCCAAGATATTTGAATTGTCTCATAACTCATGATCAACGAATATCATCTTATTTGAAAGCCGTTTACCATTGTTCAGCATGAGTTTGTATTTTCGGCATTACATCTCTATGACATATTTGGATTTTTCATGCAGGTTTTCCACTTGACTGACGAGTTCCTCTTTGCCGACTAAACTTTCTATATCCTCTGCAAAGCGAAGATTTGTGATATTGCAGCCTCCAATAATGACTGTACCCTGGGTGTCACTCATGATGAGTTAAAGGAAGGTTTTAAATGAACCACTGTGCCTTTCCATATTATATCGAGGAAATATTTAGAAGAATGTGTCACCCCAAACCGAACTGTGCGGACAACATTCCATATAGCGGTGACAAAAATACAAAAGCTCAAAAATTTTGAAGACGATGTTTATCACCCTAGATAAATCTGTTATTATTTTTCAATCACTGTGACGACTAAAGCAAACCTTAAAACTCCATCGTTTTTTTTTATTCATCGAAAGACTTTGAAGCTAAATAGTGTTTATCATGTGTAAACGGAAACAGAGACACATAACACCTGAAGGACTAAGTCAAAATAATAAAACTGGAAAATAAGAGTATAAGGCAAAGAAACCAACGCAGATGCTATATTTAAAATATGCATTCAGTAAGCTGAACATAAATATGAACACTGTAAGGACGTTTGCGATCAAGACCCTCCACAGATTCCTTTTTTTCTTTTAATAACTGTGAACTGCCACGACCTCTTGGTAAAGAGAGTAAGGTGATTTCTCGTTGCCTTTTCAACAGTTTGGACTTCCGATTAGCTTTCTTAGACTGGCTACCACTCAAGGCTAGAGGGCGTAGGCTATCTTGTTATTTAATTGGTAGCTTGGTAGAGCGGTTGAATAAATGAATTTATGACTTTTCCAAGGGTATTAATGAGAAAGTAAAGAAATAGACTAAAATGGTTTGGGGTAATAATAAAAGTATGATGGCCTATTAAAAGATTTTTGTCCCAAAATTTGACCAAATGTCAGAGTTTGATTTTTATTTTATTTTTATTTATTTATTAGCATCTCTTCTTGGTCGGGTTGAGAACCCTAATATAACCAGCAGAGTCTCATCAAGTAATTGGCTAATTCTAGGCTTGCAAAGATCACTAATCATGCCATATCTTAACACTTGTGTAAACATCGTTTGATATTTAATTTTGAAGACGATTTCTATCACATGATAGATAGATAGATAGATAGATAGATAGATAGATAGATAGATAGATAGATATAGGAACTTGCAGAAAAGCATATTTGCATGCGTTTTATATGTATAGTTGTATAGATAGATAGAGAATGAAAGTTAAAAACATATGCGTACATTGGAATATACCGTAGACTTATATCAACAAATTAATGGCCCTGACATTCAAACAGGCTTTCACCTGCAAAAATGCTGACATTCTGCTTTTTATACACAGACAGCCGGGTGGAGTATTTGCACACTTACAAAATATTTAATGTGCTTCTCATACATTTGCTTAAATTTACATGAGTGTTGTATTTTGATATAAAATTAACAATTTACGAAAATATATGTATTTTCAATCATAAAATGCGGAATAAAATATAAACAAACTTAACTGTTGGGAAAAAATGTATTTAGGCATTAATTTCATATTTTAATATTTATTTGTATGAGCCTTCACTAGACCTTCGCAATATTCTTTTAAAATTTTGACCTACTCTTTCTTGTCATGGTAACGGTGATGGTAGAATTAACCGTTTCATTATAAGGAAACATTCGGTATTCATTGACTGAGCGGTTAGCGACTGTTGGTTGAAATTCATAAAACCTTTCTTTTAAAACAATTTTTCAGAAAAATCGATTTCTCGATTTAAATATCTGTACGTTTTACTACTGGTTGGGGTTTCTTTCCTAATCTTTTGTTTCAAGTGGTGTGGAAGATCAGTATCTTCATCATATCTGTCATGGGTCCTTACTTATAACTACAGAATGAACTCTTCCTAACACTATGTATACTACACCTCTCAAGAGAGAAGGGGCGAAGCAACCCTCGTGGCGGGGGGAGTGCTAGATACCGAATCAAGCCAAGCTTCTCGGCTTGACGGTCGAACTCTCTGCCTCTGAGCAGAGAGAAACCCAGACGAGGCTCCGCCTAAGGGCAGATTCTCGTTCGGGGAGATTGACCAACTCGATCTCGCTTATACGGGTTCTACGGGCATTTTTTTGGCCGAGCCTACAGGCTCGGGAAACCCACGTTAAACTCGGCCTTGTGCCACATGCAACCCTTGTGGGAGGGTGGCTAGATACCGAATCGATTCGAGCCGATAGTAGTTCACTCCAAACCAGACTGACAGTCATACTAACACCTTCAACATCTTGTATTATTATTTCGTGTAATATACCTTCGTTATTTCTACTCTTGTGTTCGCGTTGTTCTTCCTTGGTCCTAACCTGGACCATAACAATATCATTATTTTCTTTTCGAGATATATGTTCTACACATTCAAATGGTTTCTGTTATTTCGTACAATTCTTTGTAATTATGTAGCGCCACATTGTGAGATGTTTTGAAGATTTTTTTTTCTTTTGACCTATATGCTTCATTCATTTGCTTGCATCCATTTTTAATCATTGATCTAAGAAAACGGTTGTTATATAGCTAATAGTTTAGAAATTTCTGGCGCCATATATGTCGACCTCCAATACATTAATGCTTCTGCTATCCTTTTGATGAATTCGATTTCAAGCTTTGCAATAAATTTTCAATCAGATTAAGGTCAAGAGATTGATGTTGCCACTGAAGCACCTCTAAATTGTTCTAAACAAACAATTCGAGAGTTATGTTAGCTGTACATTTCGAGTTGTTATCCTGTCGAAAGATCCAATTCTTCAACTGTTGCACTGAAGAGAAATTAACTTCTGATATATCACTCTATTGATGGTTCCTTCAACCACGTGAAAACGTTCCCGAATTATTGAAAGGAACACACCTCCAAACCATAATGCTTCTACCTCATGCGGGGATGGTGGGGTTTTTTTTTTGGGGGGTTCGACCAAAGGGGCATCCATCTTTGCTCTATACATGACAATCTGAGTTGTGACCGAAAAGTTCAGTTTTCGTTTCGTCGAACGAAAACAAGTCATTCCAAAAATTATTAGACACCTTTTCTAGAAATATTTATAACTGCCACTGTTCTGATGAACTTTCCTCGTTGCCAGCGGAACGTCCCGAATTTAAGCAGTTAATTCTCATAATTTCACTGTTGCAGTTGTAACCGTAAGTTCTATGCTAATAGTTTCTTCTCAGGCACGTCTCACTTGTGGAACTCTCTTCCACCTACCTACTTTCCTGTCAACTACGATGTTCAAAAATTTAAATGTAATGTTAATCGTCATCTTCTGTCTCATTGAACACTGTTATTTTTTGTCCTCTTTGTTTCTTTCATATTCAGTAGCCCTTTGCATCTTGGTGGCTTTTATTTCCTTGCCTTGGCATAAAGGATTAAAAGATGTCTTTAAATGCTTATGAATTAACTTTATCCAAGTATCCTGGTGCTTTTTTTCTCCTGTGCAGTTAATTCCCAATAGTTCTTTTAGCAACCCGGTGTTTCATTTGCTCTTAAATTATCTTCGACATTTTTCTGAGTCATCACTGAATTCGCTTCGGCGTTTTTTCTCAACATATTTCCAGTTGCCCGTGAAGACATTTTCATGGAGCGCCAGTCCAAGGGAGTTTCTTGTTGGTGTCAAACTTTTCCACTTTAGAATAACCAATCCAATGGTATATTTAAATAACCAAAGATATTTACCAAATTAACCCTTTCATTGTGTTGTTTAATTTATTCTTTTCCTTTACTTTAACTATGACAGTTTCATTGTAATGATCTTGTGAATAACAACTATGATAACAGTATACCCTAGTAATGTATAGCGGAAAGATTCAAAAGCTTTCTTTGAAGGTTCAGTAAGATATGCGTGTAAATGTAAGTATTGCAGGTATGTTAAGTATTTTGCAAGTATCAAGTATACTTTTTGCTTGTGTCACACACTTATGCGGTTAAGAGCTCTTTTATTGTAGCCATGACGGTCCTATTTCAAGAAAGTGAAATTGTGAATGGAAACTTCCATAGCATCACATCCTGATAAAGAATGGCAGGCAGATTCCAAAGGTTTTATGCAGGTGTAAAAGGAGTGAGACCTGCACCCCTTCTTAAGTAACATTTTATGATAAATTTTATTTTTGCTTGTTTTCATTCTATATTTAAAAGTATTTATTTTCTTAATCATTGTTAATCTTATATTAAAATAGATCACCTGTGTGTGTATGCAGATGTGTTTGTAGGTGCATATATATATATATATATATATATATATATATATATATATATATATATATATATATATATATATAATTAATTCGTCGAGCTTAGAATAATCATCTCAACAGAATGCAGAAAGCACTGTACACCATTTCGTCCTATATTTGGGACTCATCAGCAGTGCGCATCCACTACCCGAGAATCGAATCTGGACCGTTTCGATACAACGCAGCAGTCGTCGCTCTTGGGGCACTATTCCGAGGTTATCTGTATACTTGGATGAGTACCACTGCGAAACTGAGTGAGTAGCGGCGCTATATCGAGTCAAGTTTGTGTCTTTGCCACCGAGGCCCGTGGTAAAGTTGCATGACGTTTGCTGTGTCGAAACGGTCCGGGTTCGATTCTCGATAGTGGATGCGCACTGTCCCCAGATAGGACAAAACGGCCGTACCTTGCTTTCTGCATTCTGTTGAAGTTCTAGGCTCGACGAATGATTATCCTAATAATATATATACTATATGATTATCCTAAATCCCCCAAATAATCATACATATAAGTACCTCGATAAGCTCGTAGTCTAATAATGAAATAAGCATTTATATAACACAACCAATATTTCCTTTCAACATTTTAGTGTTAAATATTAATAACTTAGCTTCGAAACTTATAGCGTAAATATTGATTGATTCGTTTTCTACGGCTTTGCGGTTATTTAAAGCCAGAAAATACTTTTAGATTGTAAGAAGGATTTTGTGATACGAGTCCTACTAATCCGTGAGGGAAAATAGGTGGGTTCATGCCTTTCCCAAATGTATTTGCGCGTAAGTGGATATAATAAACCCAACTGGAATTAGAACTCGGCTCTCCGAACAACATTTCCGAGCCATTATCCATTCCACCACCAGCCCATCCCAGCTTACAGCACCCATCTAGGTTTATAGCTCCATATCCAGTTAAATCTGTATTTAACTACAGACTTATTAGTCCCATCTTGTACATATTTTATTTCTTTTTATCGATAATTATAAGAATTATTCCGTCAATTCTATTTCCTGTTTGTTTAATCATCGTCTTTTTTTTCTTGGCTGTGAATGGATTCTTTTCTTTTTTTAAATTTTTCTTTTTTCATGTGTCACGACTATGATTAATGATTATCTTGTTATAACCAGGTGCTGGGGCGTCATTTCCATTATATCCGTAATTGATCTCCGATTGATATCAAAGACGTCAAGACTGAGGCAGACACTGCATCTGAACCCACCTGGTACATCGCAATATGGCGGAGAGTCAACAAAGATGGTGGTATCGCGAGGTACTGCTGGGGGACCATGGGTAGCCTCGAAACCATATCTTAACCGGTCATGATTTGATGAGAGCTTTACCAGCAAACCCTTTTTAAGAAATGCCTTGCTAAACAAAACTGACACGGTACATTTGTTAAGTTTTTCTTTTATATTTTCTTTTAGATTTAATAGCTATAGAAATTGTCTAAATGTTTGTGGATCCGGAGTGATTTTCGCTAGAGTATTAGACATTTTCATTAGGATTTTTGTTATACTGCTTTAATAACTGGTGTCTTAATTCAAAATCTGGCAAAATGTAGCGAGTAATATTTAAGAATTTTTTAATTACACTATTCATTTAATTAAAAAAAAACCTTCTTAAATATTACTGGCTTACTTTTAGCTAGACTTTCAATTATGACACTTTGTGTCCTTCACATGTTTTGACGGTTCTCCCAGTCACCTGACGAATATTCAGGAAGGTTCTCAAATTTACAAGCCTTGATAAACCAATGACATCCTCGCTTTTGTATATAAGCACGTGCAACAAAATAAATTCTACATTGACCTGATAAAATCCCCCAAAGGACGGAACGCAACGGCTAAGAAGTTTTACCTCTTGTCTCTTTTTTTTCATTTTGTTCATTTATTGATACACTCTATCTGAAAATTATATATATATATATATATATATATATATATATATATATATATATATATATATAAAATGATAAAAATATGCATATACTTGCACGTACATATAAATATATTTCTTCCTCGGGTGTTATAAATACAACAAGGCTCATTGTTATGTAACAGAGTTATCAGTATATATTAGTGAATATGCATAATATCATATCCAACGTCGATGGCACGCGGTCTTGCAATCTTCAAGTTCTGAATATTCTCAGCACCTGATTGCATTGGATATTATGTATATTCACACACACACACACACACACAAACAAACAAACGCACATACACAAACACACAAACGCACGCGCGCGTGCACACACACACACACAGACACACACACAGAAAGCGTGAAACCCAGGGTCACAAACTCACATCAATCCAACCAAATATATATATATATATATATATAGTTCATTTAGGCAGCAAGTATTCATCCAAACAAGTGTGATTTAAAAGAATTTTTAAATAATGTGTTGAATATTGTGTTCGAAGTTGTGAATAAACTGAACTTCGTTCAGATTTTGGCTGGTGTCAAAGTGAAGTATATCTGCCCTCGGACGGATAAACTACATTTCATCTGTCAGTTGTGTCTGTCTTTGGGCAGAATGCAACTCAGTTGTGTGTGTGTGTTTGTGGATTGATTGCAACTGATAATATTATTGAGAGGGGTGCCTGGTACCAGAAATCAGATACCCGCGGCAGTATCTCCCTAATTGCACTAAAGAGGTAGGATCGGTAGTAATAGGGATGCCAACGTAAACCACACTTGCAAGATTATGGGCTAATTTGGGACCTGGGTGTAC